AAAGTTCTAAATAAAACAACTGTCAAAACCCCGTATGAGTTGTAGATAGACAAGAAATCTAGTTTGAAGTATTTGCACATTTGGGTTGTCCGTTGAGGCAAGACCTTATAAAATGGAAAGAAACTGGACTCCAAAACTATCAGTTTCCATTTTATTAGATATTCTAGGATGTCAAGAAGTTACAAATTTTATGATCCCACTAATAAGGTGATTTTCAAAATGAGAAATGCTTGATTTTTTGAGAATATGGAGTTTATGGGGGAGATACAGTTATAGATTTTATTTTTGAGGAGGAATATGTAACTATTCATTCTGTTGCAATTGACAACGATCAGGATTAGAGACAAATTTCTGTTCAACATCTTGTTGAAGAAACAATTTCGGACCAATACAAATATTTCAAAAACCCCTATACACAATCAAGAGATTGTTCCAAAAGAACGAACTCAATAACCTCAAAAGCAAATGTCATTACGAAGATCCATTAGAGAAAGGAGAAATGCAATTCTGGATGACTTTATAGTCTTTCTCAAGAAAATTAGGAGGGCATTGGATTGGTGGAAAAAAACCTATCAACTTTCATCAAGACATACAAATGAATAATTCTGAAAAGTAGATTAATGCCATGAATAAAAAGATAAAGTCCATATGTGATAAAGACATTTGGGAACTCATCCCATTGCCTTTTGGTACGAAGCCAATTTATTGTAAATGGATATATAAAACTAAGAGGAATTTGAAGGGTGATGTGGAGAGATATAAGGCTCGTCTTGTTGTAAAGAGCTTTATTCAAAAGGAAGACATTGATTTCAAAGTGACTTTCTCTCCAATTTCTACAAAAGAATGGATGTAAAGATGACATTCCTTAATAGTGACATTGACGAGATAATTTATATGGTGCAACCAGAAAACTTTGTTTCTAGAGACCCAAGTAAGATAGTTTGTAAATTAAATAAATCCATTTATAACCATAAATAGGCTTTCTGTAAATGGTATCACAAATTTCATCAAGTAGTCATTTCATTTGATTTTAAGACGAATGCAGTTGATGATCGTGTATACCACATGTTTAGTGGAAGCAAGCATATGCTCCTGGCATTGTATGTCGAAGACATACTGCTTACCTACAATGACATGTCTTATTGCACGAAATTTTGAATTGAAAAATCTTGGTGATGCCTCTTTTATGTTATGTATACAGATACATCAAGGTAGTTCTCAGGGTATTTTTAAATTATTACAAAAGAGCTATATCGAAAAGGGTCTTAAGAGGTTGGGCATGCAAGATTATAAACCAGGTGATAACCATATTCATAAGGATAAACATGAAGAAAGGGAAATGCAGAAAATTCTCTATGCTTCAACAGTTAGGAGTTTAATCTATGATCACGTTTGCACATGTTTGGATATAATATTCATTGTTGGAATTCTAGGCAAATAAAAGATCTGTTCAAAACGTCAATTTGATCTATGGTGAATATGTTAGTTTGAAGTATATTGTTCTAATGTTTTGATTCTATAGTTAGTTGACTTAGCTATGGTTATTAGAATTTGGGTGTGACCTAAATTTTTTCTTGAAGATAATTGGGAGTTCTAATTAAAGTGTACATTAAGAAAAATTCTATTTAGAATGCTTTTTGAAATCCTATTCGAAGTCTATTTGACAAATTCTAGTTGAAATTCTATTGGAAAGCCCTATTGGAAGTTGACATTTGTGTTGGACTTGAAGATATCCAAATAAGGAAACTTTTGGGCATTCTATTTCATCTAAAACTCTATTTCTAGGGTTTGGATTGTTCCCTATATATATTTGACTCTTCTCTACAATTTAGTTGGGTTGGTTTTACCATTATAGGTTGTTAACCTCATTACAGGTTGGTTTTACCTTATTGGAGGTTCGTTTATTCCTATTATTAGTTAGACAAATTATAAATACAAATCTTTGTATTCTTTTTCCATATTTTAGTGAAATCTATTTTACTCTGCAAATTATATTCTTCTTGTGAGTTTGTGATCTTTATTTTATATTGTGTCTATAATTTCGTATCGTCCGCAACAAATTGGTATCAGAGCATTCTAGTTTACAATAAACTGTTATTAAAGCTTTTGGTGTTGAAATTCTTGGGAAGATCGAGGTTTTTTGTTATGGAAACAATGAAGTATGATATTCCACTATTAGATCGCAATACAATATTCTTTTTGTGGCAGGTAAAGATGCGAGCAGTACTCGCTTAGGTAGATTTGGACGACGCGTTGTTGGGATTTAACAAGATGTCCACAACTTGGACTCTGAAGGAACACAACAGAGGGATTGAAATGTCTTTTCTAAAATATATCTTCATTTTTCAAATAATATTCTTCAGGAAGTTTTGAAAGAGAAGTTAGCCGTTGTATTATGATTAAAATTGGAGCAATTATGCATGAAGAAGAGTCTTACTAGCAAAATTTCATTTGAAACAACGTTTAAATTTTCATCGAATGTCAAAAGTTATATCTTTTGAGGATCACCTAACTGTTTTTAAGAAAATCGTCGCTGATTTGGAGACTTTTGAGATCAAATATGATTAAGAAGATTTGTGATTTATTTTATTTTGTTTATTGCCCGCTTCATACATGTCTTTTATAGATATAATTTTACATAATCATGATACTCTCACCATAAAAAAAATCCATGATGGTCTATATTCAAAGGAGAATATGAAGCATCTTTTAGCATCCTAGGGTCATGGATATGGCCTTATAGTTGATGGTGGTCGTTCAAGAGACAAGCCAAAGTCTAACTTCAAAATTTGTAATTATTGCAAGAAAAAGGGACAATTGATAAACGATTGTTATAAGTTGTAGAATAAATCAAAATTGACGACAAATCAACAATTAGAAACTTCAGGGGAAGCAAGCAGTGCTTTTACTTATGTCTGACTACAACTCAAAACTTGACGAGATTTGAATTTTTGATACGGCTTGCACTTTTCATATGACTCCTAATCGAGATTTGTTTGCAAAATATGAAGAAGTTTCAAAAAGTGTTGTTATGATCGGTAATAATAAACCTTATCAATAGCCTGTATTGGTCGTGTTAGAATAAAGATATTTGATGAGATGGTTAGAAAACTTGATGCAATTAGACAAGTTTCAGATGTGAAGAGAAACCTTAAGTACTATTAATTTAAAAGGATACACGTATACTGTTGTAGGTGGAGTCCTGAAAATTAGTAAATGAACCCATGTTTGGTTAAAGGGACATAGAAAATCCCATTTATATATTTTGTAGTATTATACATAATTTTTAAGTAATCAACATATTTTAAGAACTCAGGTGGAATTGGAGTTGGATTCCGTACTATTGGATTTTAATTTGGGGTCTTCATTGAAGAATACATTTAAGTTGAATTTAGAAGTTATGGGTAAATCTATCTTGTCAGCATCATTGATGGTGTCATTGTATTTGGTTGCTACTAACAGATCCATTTTTTGGCCATAAGACTTCACATAGGTAAAATTCTTTTGATTTGGTTGATTGTTTGAATACGGTTGAGGGTGTTGATTCTAGCCAAGATCCTTATTTTGATGCATTCAGTTGTGATTCTATTACAAGGCTTGTTTTAGCCTTGTTTGGTGGTCATTAGATCACTTTTGTCCTTAGTTGGGGTATTAGAGGTGGAAAATATTTTCAATTGAAATTTTGATGGAGAATTTTGTTTGTGTTTTTGTTTAAGAGTTCAAATTTATTCCTTGCAGTGAAATTTGTCTCTAGGTGGATACTTTTTTTCTTTAGTTTTGTTCATTATAGTGAAATTCGTGTTATGGTAGAGCTTATTAGAATTTTGGTGTAGTCCGAATTCTTTGTTGGAAATAATTGGGAGTTCTAATTAAAGTGTACATTAAGAAAAATTTTATTTAGAATACTTTTTGAATCATATTCGAAGTTTATTTAGCAAATTCTAGTTGAAATTCTATTTGAAAGTCCTATTAAGAGTTGAAATTTGTGTTGGATTTAAGGAGATCAAGATAAGGAAACTTTTTGGCATTTTATTTCATTTACAATTCTACTTCTAGGGCTTGGATTATTTCCTATATATATGTGACTCTTTTCTACAATTTGGTTAGGCTGGTTTTACCATTATGGGTCGTTAACCTCATTACTGGTTGGTTTAACCTTATTGGAGGTTTCTTTATTCCCATTATTAGTTAGACAAATTATAAATACAAATCTTTGTATTCTTTCTCCATATTTTATTGAAATCTATTTTATTCTACAAATTATATTCTTTTCGTGAGTTTGTGATCTTTATTTCATATTGTGTATGTAATCTCGTATTTTTTTCAACAAATTGGTATCAAAGTTATCCGGTATCTTTCGCGTTTCTCAACAAATTGGTAATGGAGCATTCTTGTTTACAACAATGGTGAACTTAATCTTGCATTTTGTGAATAACAGTAGAACAGAAACTTAGAATTATGCATTTTTGAGACTTCAATTTATATACTTGGTTAAGTAGCATCCAATGGAGAGATGAAAAGGAAAAGCAAATTACATTAATTTGGCAGAAAATGCAAAAAATGATATAGATTTACATTTTTTTAACACCCACAAGAGGCAAAAAATGGATTTAGATATTTCCATTGGAATAAAATTTGAATTTAGATTCACCGGGACGTAAATGGGGATGAAAAAGTGGTTTGAAGATACTAATTTACCCAATTTTAAACCACCATTGGAGATGCTCTAATGACACGATGATACAAGTTTGCCAGTCGGTGATAGTTTGAAGCACAATAGGGGAACTTTCAAGTGCACACAACCTTTTAATCATCTTCCAAAAAGTGAAATGGATATTTGTTATGTTATGCAACACAATAACAAAGATCATTTTTATTCATTCCAACTCCCAAGAAAAACTCCAGTAGTAATATGTAGCATAACTGAGAAAATTTATTTCGTCTACTTGGATTGCAACACAAAACTAAGCAGAAATATTACTTTCGACCATGCTGTAAATCTAGAGTTCATCCTTGGGTGGTGTTGGGTTATCAGTCGATAACTTGATGGGGTATGAGGCCTCCATGGCTATGCCACATAGCCCTTCTGATGCATCGACATCACGTTGCATCCTAATGTAGCCTTGTTCTCCCCAGTCCGGTCCCCATGAATTCTTCACTATCCAATATTTCGTACCATCAAGAGTATTTCCATAGCCCACAGCTGCCACCCCATGGTCTAGCTCCATCCCACAATTTCCATTGAACACTCCCTGCAGTCGTAGAATGTTTTCTAGACATTGTTAGAACATAAAAACACATTCCTAGAGTACCAACCGATCATCAATGGTCGTACCTCGGAGTAGAATTGCATGTCGGAACCACCAGCATCAATTGCAACAGAAACAGGCTGATTTGCAACAGCTTTCATCAAGGCATTTTCGTCATGCTCAGGTACCATTTCGTACCCATCAATCCTGACAGCTGGAGAGTTCATCTACAAAACCAGAACGCATGAACAAAAGGACAGATAATTTGCCATTTTCTCATTAACAGAAGTCAAGTTAGATTCTTGAGGTATTTGCTTTTACTCAATTTAGTTTTTCATCATATAATTTATACCTTGTTTGAATCACAGTTCCCATCTCTGGCTTTGTAAGGATATATTCTTTCAGTTGTTAAGCCACCTTGTTTCTTGATGAACTCGAATGCGTGTTCCATGAGTCCTCCGTTGCAGCCTTCATTATCCTTTTCACAATCAACTAACTCTTGCTCTGATAAAGAGATTAATTGACCAGTTTTAATTTTGTTGATCCCTTCAACTCCAACTACAGCTGAAAATGCCCAACAACTACCTGCATCAAATTGATTCAATCCAACACAAAATCATTACAAACATAAATATAATATGAAATGGTATCTTGTTGTTCGGACGATATGTTGGCTTGTTATATTGGAATTTCCCTATGAGACTTACCGCATTTGCCTTGATCCTTAACACCAGTGACGGCGCCTTGCTTTCTCCAATCAACAGAAGACGGCAGATTTTCAGTTTTTTCGTGCATAAATCCGGTTCTGGCTCGACTACCATGAAGCATCCTATGGTGTTTGATCTTAGAACTGTAAAACTTTCTGAATTCGTGGCTGGTCATATCAGCAAACTTGTTGAGTTTCAACTTGTAAGGCCTGTCCATCTGGTTCACCTTGTGAATGTGCAGCACGTTCGCCTTGAAAACGTTGAAACGCCTTTTTTTCTCAGTCAGATCCCGAGAAACTGTGTGGTGGCTCCTCCACCTATCGTATAAATCCGACAGGCTTTCATCCGAAGCCAAATCCTTCTCTGTGAACTCCATGCCCTCTGCAAGTCCAAAGACCATAACCAATAAAGAACTTTCTTGAAGCTCTCCAGCTTCCAATCTGTCAAATAATTCTACTAGACCTTTCCTGCACATTATGTTTGAATATTAACCAAACGAAACAAAGGAGAAATTTTAAAAGCTTGACAACTCAGTATGAATAAAGAATTTACTTTATCACATGCAGCAATAAAAGAACAGAGGATTCTTTGTGCTCATTGAAAAGAAAAGAACGAAAAATCTATATGAACAAGTCCAAAGACCATAACCAATAAAACAGAAGCCAAAAACACACTCCAAATTCTCATCTTTTCGATATCAGAATTAAGTTTTTCGACAGAAAAGTGAATAAGCTTATCAAAGTATGCACATATCAGAGGCTCTTCTATTTGATCAAGATTAACTTGAGGATTGTGTTCTTATATACACTGGGCAGTATCAAATAACTAAAAAAAGCTATTGTCATGTTTATTGTTCTCGTAGTCTTGTGTATTAAACACGTCTGTAATCCGGGGATAAAGTTGTTTTCTAATGACGGTTCGTCTGCTATTTTTAGAGGTGAGATTTGTACTCTATCTTTGATGATTTATACTCAACACGCCCTTCATGTTTTGGTTGTTTGTCTGTACACAGAAGCTGACGAATTGTCTTATAAGGCTGCAGCCTTTGTAACACGTTTTCTCTCAGGTGTACGTGTCATGAAGTACTCAAAATCTTCTGTATTATCATCTGTGAAATTTACATTCAGAGTTTGAGCTAGTTTTAGAGTTGTTCGGCCGAAATTTGAACTTCTATCTGTTGCGGGTTTAGGGCTTCTCCTCACCAATCCCAAACATTGATTCGTAAGCAATGTTACTCAAAGTAATAAGGATAAGACTGTACTGAGACTTTTTTCATGAAATAGAAGTAAATTTCAGCTTAATTCAACTTAAAGAAACAGAAATGTTGGAAAAACTTGAAAAATTGCACGTCTTAATAGTATGGATTGACAGTCGAGACCATGAAATCAAGCAATAGCAGTCGAGACAAATATAGACACAGATTAAAACTATGAAAGGGAAATGAATGAATAAAGAAGTAACTGATTTATTTTTAACAAAATATTAATCAAAAACAACCCATAAGACTGAAAATGTTTTATATCACTCAAATCAGTTCTCAAAATTATACCTTCTACCTAGAGCAAATCCAGTGTCACTATCATTGCCAACTGCATCAACCTAATTCCCCAAAATCACATCAATAACTACTCATTAAGCTTCAAATTCATAGCAATTATTAATTTTGGCTACAGCACTGAGGCCAGCACTAGAACTGACTAAAAAGGGTGCACTGTAAGAACTACTGCCCAATTATTGACTGCACGTGATGCTCATAGCCACGCGTTTCTTGCTGCGACAAGGAGAAGATTCAATATCAGAAAATAGTGTGAATTTTGTTTTATATTTTCTCTTGTACTCTGTTTCATAGCTTTCAGTTGTGAATGAAGAAATATCATCAAATGTTTTATACACAAGTGAAAGAGCTAACCAGAAATAATTAACTCAAAGTTCTTCTAATGGTCGAACACATAATATTTCATGTATATGAACGTCAACATACACATTGCGAATAAAACTCGAACCTCAGAACAAATTTGTATTAACAAATATACCACCAAGTAATACTTCCAATTGATAATCTTCAGTTGCTTTAAATCAATTCGAGTTAAGCCCAAATAACCTATTTCCACATGAATTGTATCCAAATTGGGATTTTTCTATAATTAAGATAATTTGCACGAGTTAAGTAGATATTTGCTCAATTTATATATATTAAATGAGAACCGAAGCCCCTCCTATTTATGTCTGGATGTAAAGTTTAGAGGTTCATGCCAAACTCGCACGGGGGCGCAGGTCGAGTTTTGTAAACCCGAAACTAAGATTTGTTATCGATCAAATTGAGGTCGAAATTTTTTCTATTTAATTTGATCAACCCCTTTATCCAGTAAAAGATCCAATATAACAAGATGCTGAATGGTTGGATCGCATTAACAGTTCAAATGTTTATACGGCACACGAGGAAAACGAAGTTCTAAACATTGCAAGATTGTTATCTATTCAGAGCCTCAAGTTGTAAACATTCCATTTTTTATTATTAATAACCGGCCTAAATACATAGTCCAAACATTTAGGGCATGAAATAAATATGCATGTGAGTATAATAAACAATTTAACATTAAAAATCTCGAATGTAGTTTGAGTTTTCAAGGTCATTCCCCCCCTAAAGGGCGGCAGTCTTGATGGATATACCTCTTACAAAAACTACAGGACTAAGATGAGATGCAAGATCGATAATAGCTATGGAAACCGTTGACAGCTGGGAAAAGCAAAGCTACAAACTGATTAAGGTGCCTGCTATGTATCTACTGTTAATTGGTCCTTTTAGTATGTAGTTCTTGGCATTGTAGGAATAAACTTAAGTTTTTTAGTACAAAAGATAGTTGGAGTTTGGAAACAATCATTAAATGAGATCTCGGTTGTGCTAATAATTGACAAAATGGGTGGCTTTTTTAAATATGCTGATTGTGCCGACAAGTTGCTGATGTTTCTTGGTATTTTGGGCTGCTTGGGAGATTCATTGGCCGATCCATTAGCCATGTCTGTTCTGAGTGTAGCCATAGACGCATTCGGAAGTGCTGATCAGTCTATTGCCAAAGGGGCGGTGCACAAGGTACGTTGAAGACAAAATTTAAGTTATAAAATGTATGCATTTTAACATGGTATCAGAGCAGTTCAAAGTCTTGGGTTCAAGTCTGTCGTCACACATTTATGAAAATTGAGCACTTGAAGAAAATAATTCAACAATTTTATGCTTCAATTACAATGTATCATGGAATTTCTTGTTGAAACATTAGTTTGATTTCAGTTATGCTTGTGATTTTGTCAGTATGCACTCCAGCTTCTGTATGTTGCTCTTGGAGCTGGATTCTCTTCTTTCCTCGGTATGGCAACTCTCCCAGGAAATTCGCTGATGGGTGTTTGTAGAGGGAATCATTCTCAGCTGGTTTATCATTATATTTTGAACTACTATTTTTTTTTTTTTTTGCTAAGAAAAAGAGACAAATTCGTTAAGAAAAAGAGATAATTCAGGGTCTGAGGTCATATTAGTTGTATAAAACTACAGCGTCTCAAACTACTATTGTAATTGTGACCCTGTTAACTTGTTTCATTACATGACATATATATTTTAGTCCTAAACTTAATCAACTAATAATGACTTCGCTTGATCACCAACAATCATGACAGTTGGAATTTGTCGAAAAGTTCAAAAACCTGTTGATTGTCTATCATTTTGTTTATTAAAAGATTGCTTACTGCATTTGCAGAAGGAGTTTGTTGGACAAGAACTGCTGAGAGGCAAACATCTCGTATACGGACAAAATACTTAAAATCGGTCCTTAGACAAGAAGTTGGTTTCTTTGACAACCAAGATGCTTCATCTACCACTTTTCAAGTTGTCTCAAACATTTCTGCTGATGCCCACTCGATTCAAGATGCTATAGCTGAAAAGGTTCTTTAATCTTTTTTGTCTATTTTTTGTCCATCAACCGGTCTTCCATATGTAACTAAAGCAAAAGACTGTTTTTCCCCTCTTTTGAGTTCTTCATTTTTTTTTTTTTACCTGATGTAGATACCAACCTGTCTGGCTCAACTCTTCGCTTTCATGTTTAACCTAATAGTTGCCTTCCTACTTTCATGGAGACTCGCATTGGCGTCACTACCATTCGCAGTCGGGTTTATAGCCCCAGGGGTAGGGTTCGGAATATATATGATGGATCTAGGAATCAAGAGTAAGGATGCTTATGGTGTTGCAGGTAGTATTGCGGAACAAGCAATATCATCTATTCGAACTGTATATTCTTATGTTGGTGAGCACCAAACACTCAATAGATTTAGCCATTCTCTTCATGAAAGTATGAACGTTGGGATAAAGCTAGGACTGGTGAAGGGGTTGTTGATAGGAAGCATGGCAACAATTTTTGCAACTTGGGCATTTCAATCTTGGTATGGGAGCATTCTTGTCACTGAAAGAGGAGAAAGTGGTGGCCATGTTTCCGTATCAGCTATATGTATCATCCTTGCAGGAATGTGAGTTCCTTTGTGTTGAACCAATTGCTCTAAAAGTTTGTTAGATGTGATTACATATAAATAATTTAAATATTATCTTCAAACATGTCCTCTCGTGTATAGGCAATAGTCACTTTTTCCCTTCAAAGCCTAACACGTGGACAAAATTTACTAAATGGGTGACAGCAAGACTTGAACCCAAATTCTTTGCATGCTTTAGTACCATGTTGAACCAATTGATCTAAAATCTTAAATTGTTAGATAAAGTCACATGTATTTTATGTAATCATTATTTTCTACACTTAACTTTGCCAGTTTGGCAAAATTTATAAATAATTTATAAATAGTCGAACTTCATTTCCAACCACTTATTCCAATGGATCCATAAATAGTATTCACTTATCTACCACTCATTTATGTTTATTTATAAATTAAAACATTTATAAATTCTTCCTAAATGGATTACTTGTGCAGAGGTTTCAAACTAAAGACACGACTCAGAAATGAGTGGAAGAACATTGTTAAACCTGTGCAAGAAAACAAGCAAAACTGAAAGTCACAATTGAATGATGACTATCTTGATGAATATCAGTTACTAGTATTCATAATTATGTCTTTATACTTCACCGAAAGAATAAATGCAAAGAAGTTATACTATTCTGAGCCCGTCTTTAGATTTTCGAACGCATTTAACCTTTCTACTAAATTGCAGGTCATGTATGACAGCACTCCCTAATCTCCCATTTATCACAGAGGCATCAACTTCTGCAAAAAGAATTTTTGAGATGATTGACCGTATCCCTCAAATAGACTCTGAAAATGCCGAAGGGAAAATTTTAGCAAATGTAAGAGGGCAAATTGTGTTTAGAAAAGTTCATTTTAGTTATCCATCAAGAAAGGATACGTTTATCCTCCACGGTTTCAATCTTCTCATAGAAGCTGGTAAGACAGTCGGTCTTGTGGGAGGAAGTGGTTCAGGAAAATCAACTATTGTTTCATTGCTCGAAAGGTTTTATGATCCCGTCTTAGGAAATATACTACTTGATGGGCACAGAATAAAAGACCTCCATCTGAAATGGTTAAGATCTCAAATAGGGTTGGTTAATCAACAGCCAATTCTCTTTGCTACATCCATAAAGGAGAATATCCTGTTTGGGAAGGAAGATGCTACAATGGAACTGGTAATAAGTGCGGCAAAGGCTGCAAATGCACACGACTTCATCGAAAGTTTACCAGTAGGATATGAAACTCAAGTAAACCATTCTTCACGCTTCTATATCTGATAGTATTTTTCTTGTTATTTTACTCAAGTTTATAATCATTTTAGCACATCTCAGGTGGGAGAGTTTGGCGTCCAGTTATCAGGAGGGCAAAAGCAAAGGATAGCAATAGCACGGGCTTTGCTTAAAGATCCAAGAATCCTTTTACTTGATGAAGCTACTAGTGCATTGGACGCACAGTCTGAAAGCGTAATACAGGCAGCCATTGACAAGGCTTCTCTAGGAAAAACAACTATTGTTATTGCTCATCGCCTCACCACAATCCGTAATGTCGACAAGATTGTCGTACTTCAATCTGGGAGAGTTGTTGAATTAGGGTCTCATGATGAGTTGATGCAAATTAATAACGAGGAAGGTGGAGTTTACTCTGAAATGGTGAAAGTGCAGCAATCGGCAATACAGAATAAGCCTCCTTATAGTCCAACTCACCCGATTGAGGGAAGATACTGTAAGAAGACAACATATTCCCACAGTCCCATGTCCCCTTTCAGCTTAAGCACTCAAAACGGGGCTGCTCTTGCCATTCACTCTGAGGTTCCAACAGCTCAGAATAGTCCCACATCCACTTATAACCATTATTATCAAAATAATCTTGATAAATTGCAGAGTTATTCTCCAAGTCATTGGCGCTTATTTCAAATGAATGCACCAGAGTGGAAGAGAGCCTTGCTTGGATGCATAGGAGCTGTTGTCTTTGGTGCAATCCAGCCAATTCATGCCTACTTCATGGGTGCAATGGTCTCATTATACTTCTTAGATGACAGCTCAAAAATAAAATCCCAGACCAGATTGTACTGCATCATCTATCTATGTCTAGGCTTTGTCAGCTTCTTTGCTAGTATACTCCAGAATTACAATTTTGCAATCATGGGAGAAAGATTAACTAAGAGGGTTCGGGAAAAATTTCTCGAGAATATTCTTACTTTTGAGGTAGGATGGTTTGATCATAGTGAGAATACAAGTGCCGCAGTTTGTACAATGTTGTCGACTGACGCCAATATAGTTCGATCTCTTGTTGGAGATCGCATGTCATTAGTGGTTCAGGCCTTTACAACTGTTGCCCTTGCCTTTTTACTGGGACTAATCGTGGCATGGAGAGTTGCAAGCGTAACGATGGCGATACAACCTTTTATTATTGCCAGCTTCTACTTGAAAAGTGTTATGATGAAAAAAATGTCGGAAAATGCCAAAATAGCGCAAAATGAAGGAAGCCAACTAGCAAGTGAAGCAGTGGTCAATCACAGGACAATCACTGCATTTTCTTCTCAAAAACGAATTCTCGATCTCTTCGCAGCAACACTGAAGAGCCCTCGAAATCAAAGCATAAAACAATCATGGTTTTCTGGAGTAGGCTTGTTTACCTCCCAAGTCCTAAAAACAGCTTCTGTAGCTTTGACATTTTGGTATGGTGGGACTCTAATGAACAAGGGAACATTAAGAGCAAATGATCTGTTTCTGGTTTTCTTTATTTTGATGAGTACCGGCAAGAATGTAGCAGATGCTGGAACCATGACATCAGATTTGTCAAAAGGTAGCGATGCTGTCAAATCTACTTTTGCAATCCTCGACAGGAAAAGCAAAATTGAGCCTAACAACCCTGAAGGTTCCAAGATTAAACAACCAATGAGGGGCAAGATAGAATTAAAGAATGTTTGCTTTTTGTATCCCTCCAGGCCCGAACAGCTGATTTTCGAGGATCTTAGTCTCAAGATTGAAGCTGGAATAACAGTGGCTATTGTAGGACAGAGTGGTTCAGGCAAATCCACTATTTTCAGTTTGATCGAGAGATTCTATGATCCAATAAAAGGATCAGTTCTTATAGACGACCACGATGTCAAAAGCTACAACTTGAGAGACTTGAGATCACATATTGCACTTGTGAGTCAAGAACCAACTCTTTTTGCAGGAACCATCTATGAAAATATAGTTTATGGCAAAGAAAACACTACAGAAGTTGAAATCAAAGAAGCTGCAATTCTGGCAAATGCTCATGAATTTATAAGGTGTGGTATCATCATCCCTCTCCTTGACACCTAGTTTATATATGGACTGCATTACTCGATAGGACTCGATAATAAAATAAACTTGATTTTGCTTCTTTTACTTCATATACTGTAAAATACTGTACAATCCTTCTTACCTAACATGCGTCTAATGCGAAATAATATGCTTTCTTACAATAAAAATGATCTGTCATGTATCTCTCTTTTCGATGCAGTTCAATGAAGGATGGATATCAAACTTACTGTGGTGAGAGAGGAGTCCAACTTTCGGGGGGACAAAAGCAGCGGATTGCACTAGCACGGGCAATTCTGAAGAACCCATCAATCCTTCTCCTGGATGAAGCAACTAGTGCCTTGGATAGTTTGTCCGAGAATCTAGTCCAAGAAGCATTGGAGAAAATGATGGTCGGGAGGACTTGTGTGATTGTAGCTCATCGTTTATCGACAATACAGAAGGCAGATTGCATCATCGTGATCAAGAATGGAAAGTTTGTGGAGGAAGGATCCCATCATGAACTACTTGCTATCGGAGATCATGGAGCATACTATTCATTAATCATGTCACAACGAGGCCACACTTTAGCGAGCCACGAGTAAGTTATGTAGATTCTGTTGCACAAAAAATTGGAGGAATGGGAGAAGAGAACAGAAATGTAGCAGCAAGAACACCAAAACTGGTAATTAGACTCGAGCTCATTATCAATGTCTTCCAATGATATTTGCCTCCTCTAGATTTATTTTGAGTGCTTAAAGGGATTCACGGTAAATGGTTTCTAGGATTGAACAAAACTTTAAGAAGAAAAAGACTTGAGCACTTGTGTTTCTCTTCCAAGAACTTGAAGAAGACGAGAGTTTGACTATGTAATTAAATTGGAACAAAGATACAATAATATGGATTTTGATTGATGATTTTTTGTTTTTATAATTGAAATATATCACCTATTTATGTATTTCAATTCATAGCCCACGAAATAGTGCCAACAATTATGAAAAGTTGAAATTTTTCATGAAAAGGCACTAGAAACCGAACCAGGAAACCAACCTTAACTACTTGTTTCCAGGCCGATGTGCACGCATGGGCGTGAGCATGGTTCAAGGGATTTTGCTCCTACTTCTGCGGAAGAAGCTATGTGCACAAGACTCAATCCCATGCGCCCAAAATTTCTCCTTGTTTTTGATTTCTTATCACTTTTACCTTTTAAATATATGTCAAATTCTCTCATTCATATAGTTCTTGAATAAATATAGCTACTCGTTCAAAATTATATGGGTCCATATATACAAACTATCAACACTTGTGCACAAGGTATAGATATCTTTCAATTTGATTCTAATCATAGTGTAATTCCAGCAAAGTAACATCGAAATTTCAGGTAGCGTATGACTTTGTACCAATTTTTCCCTGTGATGATATCCGTGAAAATACATATACAAATGTCACGTGTTTCACAAGTTCTTCAAACTTGTTTAGCGCTAATATGATATTGCGCTTATCCAATTCGTTGAATTTTTAAAAGAGAAACTCCAAGTCTCTATTGAGGCAGGACAACCACGAAATTCATCTAAGTGAAGTTCTTCTAATATCTTTGTTACTTTTAGAGATGTTTGTATTTAGTATTGAACTTCGTTAAAAACTTAAAGATCAACCCTCCTTCAAGTAACAAACAACATTTTTATATTAGGATAGGGTTCTTGTGAATACAATAGGATGAAACCATCCACTTATAGAATGACTACTATTATCATTTGAACTCGTGAATTACTATTTTAGTAATGATAGGTAGGATTACCATTGTTGGTGGAATTTTTTAGTTTAGAAGTTTCAACCACGTTCTTCTCGAAATATACTTCACATCTCCATTAGTTAAAGGATCTACTGAATTTTCATTTGACTTAATGTAATATAGAAAAATTATTCCATTCTTGATTAATTTTCTTACATAGTCATGTCTTAGACTCATATGTTTGGACTTCCCATTGTATATCTCATTCTATGCTTTTGCTAATGTGGTTTGATTATCACATAAAATAGATAAGATAATGAATATGTTTTCTTTGGTCATAAAGGTATCTCACATAGAAGATCATTGAGCTAGTTAGCTTTTTTCTCGATGTCGGCTAATAATACGAATTTAGATTCCATGATCGAATGTGTAATGCATGTTTGTTTCTTACTTTTGCAAGTGCTAGATATCCAACCCACATCAGTAAGTCCTTTTACTAAAGTCAGGAATTTAGAATATTGTTGACCTATGTTTTTGGTTTTCTTTTAATAACCAAGAACTCTCCAATAGCCTTCCAATTTTACTTGCTCAGATTAATAGTAAATATTATATCCGGTCTTGTGCATTGAACTGCATACGTAAGACTATCTATAGTATTTGCATACTCTAGTTGAGCAACAACTCTTCCATTATTCTTTATAAGTATAGAGTTTGGATCAAGAGAGGTACTAAATTCTTTTATGTTCAAGTCTTTGAACATATTTATTACATTTTCAATATAATTTGATTGCTAATTCAAATAAGACTTGAACATATTTGTCACATTTTCAATATAATGTAATTGCTAATTCAAATAATATTTTAATTTATTGTTGTTATTCTAGCTACAGGTGCATATCTATTGAATTAATCAATTCCTTTATTTTGTTGATAACTTTTAGCTACCAATCTAACTTTAAAGGTATTAATAGAACTATCTACATTTTATTTTTTCCTAAACACCCATTTACAATCAATATGTTTAGATCCAGGGAAGTAAATTGACAAGTTTCAATGTATTGTTTGACATAATTGAATTAATTTCATCTTTAATTGTATCTTTTCAAAAGATACTATCACAAAGAAGCTATAACTTCTTTGTAGGTCTAAGGGTTAGTTTTCATTTACAAAACAAAAGGCATTGTTCTAAAAACATTCTTCTCATTCTTCTCTACTAAGTAAAGTGAAAGAGTTGAGAATCTACTTCACCCAGTTCTAATATCTTTTGGTATCTAGTTCTTTTGTTTCTTTGAGGTTCACTAGATTCATCATCATCTTTAGAAAATGTTTCCTCTTGTATTTCACTAAAGTTCGGAATCTCTCTATGAGTTTTCCTTAAGCCATTATCTAAAGATAGCGAATTCTCAAAGAACTTGACGCCATTTGATTCAATTATCACATTGGTATTCAAATTTAGTAATATATAGGATTTGCTATTACTAGCATATCCCTCTTGGGGCCAACTTGGTCCTTTTAGGGTCTATGTTCTTACAATATGCAAGACACATCCACACTTTGAAGTATCCAATGTTTGGTTTTCTTCCTTTCTACAATTCAAAACCTTTGTGAATTTTGAAAGAATTCTATTTAAAATTCACATGCACTCAATAATGCTTCACCCCATAAGTTGAATGACAACTTAGCATAAGTTAACATGACATTTATCATTTTAACTATGTTCTACTTTTTTTTCCAGTCAAACCATTTTTTCTGGTGCCCTAGGTATAGAATATTGATGTATTATGCATTATTATTCACTAAATGAATTAAAATAACTAGAAAAATATTCGCCACATCTATCATTTCCAAGTGTTATTTTTTTGTTGAATTGATTCCCAACTTCATTTTTATAAGTCTTAATCAAATCAAATGCTTCATGTTTATGTATCATCAAATAAACATACGTGTATCTTGAATGATTATCTATAAAGGTAATAAAATACATATTCCCTCCCCTAGTCAACATGTATTCAATTAACACATATTCGAATGAATTAGTTCTAAAATTTGTGAAGTCCTATTCACACCATGATAAAGCTTCGTTGTCATTTTAGATTTACATTTATATGCCTTTTTTTTAGTATTATAATATCATATCAAGCTTTTAACATTCTTTTCATTGTACTAGCACCTTTGTGACCTAATTTAACGCGTCATAATGTAAAAAAAATCAATCAAGTAAGCAAAATCGACTTTATTTTTATTCATATTGTCAACGGTACACAATTTGACCATTCCTCCACAAGAATATTATTTTTCAACAAATTTCTCATTTAGAGACAGTTCAAGTTTTCTAGACTCATAAGCACGTTTAATGCTCGATTTTCCATCTCTTGTTTGGTTTCTGTTACCAGTTTAATTTCCTTTGTTCAAATCAATGTCTATGTTAGGCTTCCCTCCCTCATTGTCCTGTCGTGTTCAATCCGTTGTTCTTTTTTCTGAGGAAAACGTAAAGAATTGCCATTTTAGAACTTGTGAGGCCCCGTTGAAGCTTGATGGCAGATAGTTTATATGCAACATTTGGGAGTTCCTTCCTAGTGTAGCATCTCCATAGAAAGATTATCGTTTGAGATTGTTTCACAAAAAAATTGAAAGAATGGGAGAAGAGAATAGATATGTAGTAGCAAGAGCACCAAAAACTGGAAATTATACTTGAATGCGTTATCGCTGTCCTCAAATGATATTTACATCCTCTAGGATTATTTTGAGCGCTTAAAGGGATTTACAGCAAATAGCTTGTAGGACTGAATAAGCCTTTAAGAGGAAAAATACTTAAGTACTTGTGTTTCTCTTCTAGGAACCTGAAGAACACAAAAGAGTTTGAATATGTAATTGAATTGGAACAAAGGCACTATAATATGGATTTTGATTCATGATTTTATGTTTTTATAATTAAAATTTATCATCCTTTTATATATTTCAATTCGTGGACCACGAAATAGTGCCTACCATTCATTAAAAAGTTGAAAGTTACTAAAAATCAAAATTTTAAACTAGCCTAACGGCTTTTTTCCATGCCTATGAGCGATGCGTGCTGCTTTCGCAGAAGCGAGATGTGTACACGCATGGCTTAATCCCATGGGTGATCATGGGCTAATTCCCAAGCACCCAAAATTTCTCGATTTTTTATTTCATATCGTCTTTACCTTATCAATATATGTCCAATTCTCTCATCCATATAGTTCTCAAACAAATATAGAATAGAATCTAGGTGAGTTATATGGGATCACTACATTATACATTGTTTTACAACAAGTTTCACAATAAATTTAAATATAGAATTCATTATTTGTCAGTATTCAAAGAAGGCTGATTTTTTGATTTTTTTCCTTATTTTAGTTGGAAGGCAGTATTGTATTTCCACGCCAACTTAACAGTTGTTCAGACTACTCACCCATAAATAAAAGGGATAATTGCAGCGAAAGTCCCAAATTTTAGAAATACTAGCAAGCGTTTCCTAAACCTTTGATTTGTTGCAGCCGTCACTCCTAATATTTCCAAACGTTGCAGATAAAACTCTTTTGGACGGCTTCCATACATAATTCCGTCAATTGACCATGAATTTAACTTTGACCACGTTATAATCATTTCAGTGAGGGTAAAATGATACTTTCATATTTATCACATTAAATAACAAAACAGAGAGAGAAAAATAAAAAGAAATGGAAAAATTGTACCTTCTTCTTCTTCTTCTTCTTCTTCTTCTTCCCACCCACCACCACCAACGATTACATTCTTTTGGCCTCGACACTACTCCCCGACTAGAGGAAAAAACCGCTATATACCAAAAATAATTATAGCACATCAAAATCCAAACCAAATTAAGAAACCCAT